ACCCCAAGAATATGACCTGAAAATGTCATCTTTAATTTGAAACAGCGCCATTGGGCTTGGTTTCTGGTCCCTGAATTACTTGCCTTTCAGGCGCTCAGCTGAAATGGAGGGACTTTAAAAACACAGTCACCCCAGCCTAGCCGCTCCAGCAAGGAAACAGGCTCTCCACACACAAAGGAGACTGGTGTCCTTCATTGCTGGATAAAGTCTGGGTGACTTGTGACTCACCAGGCTGCACATCAGTCCAAGGGCTGCATTTCTTTTGGGGGCAATGTTTTTTTTGGGGGGGCAACATGTGTCAGTGATGGGCAAAGGCAGAGGCAAAAGTGAGCAGGGCAACAAGTGCCAGATTTACATACAGTCATACCTGATGTTATGACCGCTTCATGTTATGTTCTTTCAGGTCACGTTGCACGGTGACCCGGAAGTACCAGAAAGGGTTACTTCCGGGTTTCGCCGCTCACACATGCGCAGAAGCACAAAATGACATCACACGCATGCGCAGAAGTGGCAAATCGCAACCCGCATGTGCGCGCCGCTGCAGGTTGCGTTCTTTTCATGTTGCGAATGGGCCTCCGGAACGGATCCTGTTCGCAACCAGAGGTACCACTGTATAAGCAAAACAAGTTATAGCTTAGAGACCCACTCTCTTGGGGGCTCCCCCCAAAAAATAAAGGAAGAAAATCCCTGGGTGTACATTTCCAAAATATAAGATAAAAAACAAATAAAACCTACATACAGCAACACTGTTTTAGATACCTATTAGACCCATAAATTACCATATAGCATATATTCAACGCATAAAAACAGCGACAATTTGTTGTTGACAAAGGACAGCTGGACATATAAAGGGCCCCATTACCTTCAGTAGCTTAGGGCCTCATCAAAACTAAATCCGGCCCTGAGGGCAACACATGCAAATTTTATCTCTGTACAGCAGGTTGGTTTCTACACTTAACACACATCCTTCATCTAGGCAAGCAACATACATGATCAGAGTTCAAGGGCACATTCCAGCCAGGCAAAAACACTGGAGAAGAGGGCAAAGCAAGGCCAAGAGGGGGTGTGGCCTGGGGAGAACCCCAAGGGCCAATGAGAAAGGCTTGGAGGGAAACCCAGGACGCCGCCCAGCCCAGGCCTGAGGTTTCCCAGCCCTGCTGTTTACAGAACTCCAACTACGTGCCAATGTGTTGTGTTACTGAGCTATGAGACCAGGGTTCAGATCCTCATTCAGTCATGAAGCCCGCTTCTCTTAGTCTCAGCCAGCAGAGCATGAGATTCAGGGCTGTGGGTTCAAGCCCCACGTTGGGCAAAGAGATCCCTGCCTTTCAGGGGGCTGGACTAGATGATCCTTGTGGTCCCCTCCAACTCTACAATTCAATTGTTCTATTATTCCTCTACGATTCTATGACCAAACTCGCAAGGTTGTGAGGACAAAATGGAGATTGGGAGAAGCTTGTTTCCCACCCTGGAGGGGTGTCACTGTGACAAACAATCAAATAAATAAATAATACTGGAACATGTCAGATACTTAAGAATCACCCCCCTGTGCCCCCAGTCCTTGAAATTCCCAATAGGCAACAGAAGCAGAAGACTCCCCTTGGCAGATTGGGATCTCTTGGTAGACCCTGGAGAGTCCTGAAGTACTTTGGCAGGAACAGTTGCTTCCCAATACTTTGAGCTACCGCAAGTAAAAATGGCCCTCTGTTAATTGCTTATCTCTCAGCCTCAGAGTCTCCCACCTGTGAATTGGAGTATTAATCCATTGCCTTTGATTGGGCTTTTGTGTGGCGCTGCTGAGTTTTGTGCTAGAATCCCTCATCTGTAGTTGCTCAGCTGCAGGTCTCTGCTTATAACATGGAGCTTATCCCATTATGCGACTTACGGGGGGCAGGAGGTAATTGGCTCCACCGCACCGAGCCACCCAATCGCACCTGGCGCCAGGTGACAGGCCTTAGTGCTACAATTAAATAGTAATAATTAAATAGTAGATCCCACAAGCTCAAAGTTTGTCCGCCTCTGTGGGCCGTGCTCAGCTGGTGAGTTACAAGATGTGGAGATCTAGTATCAGGGGACGTGGAAGTGCCCCACGGGTCCCAATGTGACAAAAGAAAGAACAGACACCTCAGCGGATCGCTTCTTGGCACGACCTTGAAAAAGTTTCAGCCCTCCAGCAGAAGGCTGCAACAAATGTACAACCCAATGCTTGAGCCAAAATTCCAACTACATCTGTAATCAATAAGGTTGTGGCCATTTTCAACCCAGACCATTGCCTGCTTGAGTTTATTTTATTGCACCTTACTTTAGTCACTGTCGAAGGGAGGGCGGAGCTTATGACTGGAACCACAACTGCCCCACATGTCCCAATGGGGCAAAAGAAAGGAGGGCAAACTCTGAATACAGCATTGCTGGATGTAAGTGTGCATAGCAAAAACCAAGATGGAGGACTCAGTGGTTCCACAGGGTTGTGTGAAGGTGTGTGCAGGTAGTAGACCTTCTTCCTTCAGTCTCTTGGAATGGGCACAGGTGTGTATCTACACCTGGAAGCTGTGTGAAGCTGTTCCAAATGTTATGCAATTATCGCTTGTGTCTGAGCATCTCAAAATTGGTCCTGGTGTCAGAGCTGGACTTCAGATAAGGTCTTGAACCGATGCCCCGAGGCAGGGGTTGCCACCGTGGCACACGTAGGTACCAGTGTGTCTGTCAGTACATCCTATGTGACCCCCCAAAAGGGCCTTGGAAAATATCCCTTCAAAAATCCACAACACGCAAGCAACCATTTGCTCTTCCCTCACAGTTTCTTTTTGCACAGGCTCTGCCTTTCCAGCGGAGACTCCCTCAACCCCGCTTAAACATTCCCACATTTCATTGCATGCCCAGGTTGGACTTCCACCCTCCCGTCTCTTCTGAACACATGTGATGAGCAAAGAGCTTCTCTCTGTGAGCAAGCATGGCAATGGCTGAAGTAGGAGCCTTGTTTCCAATTGACCAAGCAACTGAGGGATGGACAATGCCATAGCTGTCAACGTTTCCCTTTTTTAAAGGGAAATTCCCTTATTCCAAATAGGATTCCTCGCAAGAAAAGGGAAAAGTTGACAGCTATGGGACATGCACTTACCATTTTGTGGTCCGGTCTCTTTCTTTTCTGCTCTTTTAAATGTGGCAGCCATTACACTACAAGGCCCCGCTCAGCAGCCATTTTGGGTTATGCCTCCACGGGATCCATTTTGTGAGATGCCAAGCTTTCCACGGTAGCCATTTTTTGACTGGTGCCCACGGCACTGCCTCACAATTACAAAGCTGCCCACCAGCAGGTGGGTAGCCCCCAGACCTCAGAGACAAATTCAGGCTATTTGCCACCACAATCAGGCAACAGGCTAGAACTGTAGACAGGTAACCCATATTGAAGGCTTCTGGGTCAGGTTTGCTGGTTGGTCTGAAGAACTAGGAGACCTGCTCCTGTTTCCTAAAGGCTGCTTTATCCATGCCCCACTCTCAGCCATCATTGGCTTTAGTGCACGTCAAATTAATAAGCCTCTCCAAATCAAGGTTTCATATTGGGTAGTCTTAAAAAGGTAACTATAGCAACTGTACCAGGCCTTGCACTAATTAGAGCAAATTGTCAATGACTCTATTGTAGGGCTGGTTCCATGGGGGTGGGAGAGAAGAAAGATACTACACCTATAAGGGATTTAATTTATTACCTCCAGACTATAAATTTTAATACGAGAAGCTGATCTCACCCACAGGAAATTGCTTTAAAACAAGATGTATATCAGCAATTATTGTGTTTTTCCATCATTATCCTAAATTGTCAACAAAGGCGACGATCATTACAAAGCCGCATAAAAACTGTAATAGCGAGCAAGCGATGGGCCCCAAAGGATCATATCAAAAGCAAATCGATTCCGGGAAGAAGGGAGAAGAGAGAGGCTTCATCAGAATCCAGAGAGAGGGAGAGTTTGACTATGGAACAAGGAGGAGAAAGAGGAACCAAGGAGAGACCCGCTTCCTAAGTCATTGTCAACGTTAGGAGTCTTCACACATTCAAGACAAAAAAACAGGAACATCCAAATTTAGTGTCTCCAGGTATGGCAAACACCCTCACTCCTTTATACATTAGTGCAATGGTCTGTAGGTGCGTTCAGGCAATGGGCCGCAGCTTGGTGGCAGAACACCTGCACCACAATGCAGAACATCCCAGGTTTGATTCCCAACACCTCCACCTGGAGGTCCCCCTGGGAACGTCCCCCTGCCTGGAACCTGTCAGCCAGTGTTGGCCACACTAAACTAGATGACCCAATGGCCTCACTTGGCGTAAGGCAGATTCCTATCTTCCTATGTAAACTGACCCTGATGTGGTCATTCTTGAAAAGTTTTGAAGCAGAGGTTGGGTGGCCATCTGTCATGGATGCTTTAGCTGAGATTCCTGCATTTCAGAGGATTGGACTAGATCAGGCTTCCTCAACCTCGGCCCTCCAGATGCTTTGAGACTACAATTCCCATCATCCCTGGCCACTGGTCCTGCTAGCTAGGGATCATGGGAGTTGTAGGCCAAAAAACATTGGAAGGGCTGAGGTTGAGGAAGCCTGGACTAGATGATTCTATGAGTCTAGATTCCAAAGGAGAAGTCCACTGAAGACAGCACAAAGGAACCAAATAGCGCCTGCACATTTTGCCTGATATCTTGGGTTCAGCTGAGACTAGATACTTGCTTCTTCTTTTTAAGGGAGCTGGGAATGTGGGGATTATGTCTCCTGTGTGTGGCGGGGGATTAACTTCCTTCCTTGCACTCCCCCAGATACCCTTGAAACTAGGTGTTCTCAGAGGTCCTGCTAGCACTCCAAATCTGCTTGAGTAGCCTGCCCGGATTCCAGTGAAGATGGCCACCATTTGCGAGAGATTCCTCCTCCAGTCGCATAGAACCATGGAATCGTAGAGTTGGAAGGGACCCTGAGAGTCATCTAGGTTTGATCCCTTGCAATGGAGGAATATACAGCTGCCCCATACAGGGATCAAACCTGCAACCTTGTTATCAGCACCACTCTCTAACCAACCGAGCTATCCACCCCTGGCAGTGTCATGAATTTTTTGGGTGTGTGTGTATGAAGGCGCCTGTCCACTCCACACAAGAGATCACTACAGAAGATCATGCACAAATAGGCCCTTTGTTTTCCCTTGCTCAGATTAATGGAAAACAAAAACAGCGCTTCCTTGCCTGGGGAAAAGCTGAGAGAGAGAGGCATCACGACAAAACTTCAAGAGGTTATCCATAATTTATATACATCTATGAAATAAATCACAATTTTTTTGGGGGGGGTTTTCTGCATTTCCACGCCCCGCTTCTGTCAAGAGATCTTCTCGCCCTAATGTGATGAAGAGTCTGGATTATAAATTTAGATAATATGCGAAAGGTAAACACAATTGCCTCTTACCAGGTTATTGTGTTTCCTGTTAATACACAGGTGGTGGTTTCATTTGTATTTTGCTCTTATTGTTAGTACTTGTGAACACTTGTGGTTCATTGACTGAGCCTCATTACCCCTGGAGATTGTTTGCTCATCTGTTCGCCGGAATTTAATTACTGGAGCACAACTGCTGAAATTTGGTACATTCCAACTGGAGCTGTGCACAGTCAGCCTTTCCCTACTCTCCTTTATGCGGTCAGGTTGTTGCTTCATTTCCTCACTAGATGTGTGATTCTGGAGCCTGGACTGGAGCCTATGGGGATTCTCACTCCGCTGAGTTTTTACCTAATGCCTAAAAACAAAAAGGAAGTCTGCTGCACCCCCAATCCCAGGGCAAAGGCTGGCATGCAAAGTAATAATAATAATAATTTATTATTTATACCCCGCCCATCTGGCTGGGTTTCCCCAGTCACTCTGGGTGGCTTCCAACAGAATATTAAAATACAATAATCTAGTAAACATTAAAAGCTTCCCTAAACAGGGCTACCTTCAGATGTCTTCTAAAAGTCTGGTAGTTGTTCTTCTGGTGGGAGGGCGTTCTACAGGGCAGGTGCCACTACCGAGAAGGCCCTCTGCCTGGTTCCTTGTAACTTGGCTTCTCACAGTGAGGGAACCGCCAGAAGGCCCTTGGCACTGGACCTCAGTGTCTGGGCAGAGTGATGTGGGTGGAGACGCTCCTTCAGGTATACTGAACAGAGGCTGTTTAGGGCTTTAAAGGTCAGCACCAACACTTTGAATTGTGCTCAGAAACATACTGGGAGCCAGTGTAGGTCTTTCAAGACCGGTGTTATGTGGTCTCGGCGGCCGCTCCCAGTCACCAGTCTAGCTGCCGCATTCTGGATTAGTTGTGGTTTCCAGGTCACCTTCAAAGGTAGCCCCACGTAGAGCACATTGCAGTAGTCCAAGCGAGCATCAAGTGGAAGATGCTAGAGTGGAATGAGGACCCCTTGCACAAGGTCCCCTTTCTCCTCCTGCTGCATGCCCCCTAAATCCAGAGCAGGTTTAGGGAGTATAGGCAGCATTCAGGGGCAGGACAGAGGGAAAGTCCCATTGTGCTAGGGGACCTTGTTTTGCTCATGCAACATTTTAAGTTGAATCCTGCCCAAATAACTCTATTCTGCGAGTGCCACCACCACAAAGGCTCCGTCTCAGCTTTCTCCAACCTGATGCCCTCCAGATGTTTGAGACGACTGCTTCCACCAGCATTGGCTTGTTTTGTACGCCTATGTTATCTTCAGAAGCCCCTTCAAGGGGTTTTGTTTTCATATTACCTAAACTCTCATGAGCTTTCCTCCTGGAAGGAAGGTACTAATTCTACCCTCCGACACCTTCCATGAGTTGGAGAGCAATCTTCACAGCTTGCTTTGAACCACAGGTATACAAAATAGCCATGCAAGGGAAATAACCCAGGAAACATTCTGGAGATATTTACACGCCACCTCCGATAGCAACGCTACTGATTGGCACAGAAATCACATCTTCAACTCAGTTTGAACTCGTCACCGGACAGGTTTAAAGCAAATAAGTTGCTGATATAAGTCGGGATGGGCAAATCTGTCGATTGTCTCAGTTTCTCATTTTTCCAGTAATAAGTTCAGCTCCACATTTCCCCACCCTTTTGAATTTATTTTTAAAGTCCTCATGAAAATTCATCAGCATCTTAGCACGAATTGCTGCTAATAGACACACTTTTGTATGAAATTTTGCCTAATAGAAACACTTCTGCAAAGCAATTTCCCCTCACTTAATGCATTTGTCTATGTAATTTTTACTAATAAATGCATTTGCATGCACACTTCATGTCAGTATATGCATTTTTTTGGGCTCATTACTTGACTGGAGAACCACACTGAAAAATCAGGAGAAGCGCGAATTTTGAACAACGGATGTATTTCAATTCACGTAAGTGCAAATCTGGTAGGCTTGCATTTAAATGTGAACTGAATCAAATTTCTCCCCCAACTAGTTGCTAGTAATCCCCTCCTCTCTTTTTTTGGTCATTTGCCCTTTTATTTAATTTTTCCAGTTCTACAATATACAAGAATCATATATAAACATCCAGTTAACGGAAACATGCTTAATACATCCATAATTGCTGCCTCATTCATTTTGTATCGACTCCAACACAAGAAAAATTGCCAAAAAAACAAATATTCCCTGAAGTCTTCATAGAATGGATCTTTCTCTCTCATAACTGGTTATATCATGTTATTTAGTCATAATTAGTATATCCCTATTTTTTTCTCTTCCAGAGGTCTGTTGTTGTTCTCTCTTAAGAAAACCCTCCCCCCCCACACAGATATTTCATAGAATCATAAAATTGTGGAGTTGAAGGGACCACGAGGGTCATCTAGTCCAACCCTCTGCAATGCAGGAATCTTTTGCCCAGCGTGGCACTCGAACCCAGAACCCTGCAATTATGAGTCTAATGCTCTACCAACCGAGCTATCTTTTGAGTTAGTTTGGAAAATGTTTGCTTTGTTAGCATGTGTTTGTCAAGTTCCAAGCTACCAATCTCTTTCGATTCGATTTGATCTGACATATTTGTACCCCGCTTTCCCAGCAACAAATGTTAAGCTAAAAAACAGCTCACAAAAACCACAGCAGCATTAGAAAACAAAGAACTTTGCAATCACTACAATATCAAATGCAATAGCATAACAAAGCAAACAACAACAATGAATTCATCAAAACACTTAACACAATTCAATAAAGTTATAGTAACTACAGTAATCCTGGTAATAATTCTGATAGCTGCGGCACAAGAACATTATATTTACAGGAACAGAAGGTGCCTTTGGGCATGCTTGCAGAATTATGTCTACAAAATCTGGGTTTGGATTTGTTCCAATGGGTTTTTCGCTTTTACTTTTTGCTTTCGTTTAAACTGAAATCAAGCCCTCTTTGAATAAACTTGCAGCACTTCCAGTTTTTGCAATTAATGAGTGAATGAATAGGGTTTCCTCAGTGGAGCTTATGTGGAAAGAGGGCAAAAGGGGGGGGGGGTGATTTGCTGACTGTTAAAAAGTGGCTGAAAGGTCAGGCACAATGCAGAAAATGAGACTGAGTAGTTCAGTCCTCTAAATTAGATATTGTTGGAACCAGACTCCCAACTGCCCTTGCCAGAACACTCAATGGTTAGAGATGCTAGGTATTCTGGAATCCTGTAACATCTGCAGAGCCACAGGTTTCCCTGAAGCTGCTCTAACTGATAGCAAACTGGGTGGTGCAAGAAAAGGCATGAGGCACTGTAGTGCAATGGTTAGAGTGTTGGCCTAGGACCTAGGAGACCAGTGTTCGAATCCCTACTCGGCTATGAAGCTCACTGGATGATTTTGGAACCACTCACTGCCTCTCGATTTAACCAACCTCACAGGGTTGTTGTGAGGAGGGGGGAACCACGTACGCCACCTTGAACCCCCTCGGAGTAAAAGTTGTGATATAAACACAACAAACAAACAAACAAAATAAGAAGCAGATAAAATTATTCCAGGGCGGGGGAGATTTGCTTTTTATATATTGAAAACAGCAACCCACAGATCAGCTGCGTGCGCTTGTAGCTTGAATGATTACAAAACAGATCATATTCCGTTATTACTCTGGCAGAAAATACAATTACGAACATGTCACCCATCATTTATTTGCCACGTTGCGCAATTAATTGACACTACAAACGCCGCATCAAAAGGGCTCTTTGAATTGTAACATATTGGTTATCAAAACAGGGACACTCTCCCTGTGCGCTCACGGCAGTCCACTCCTCACAGCCCCTTCGGACCCTCCTTGGGTCCTTATAGTGCAGGGGTCAGCAAACTTTTTCAGCAGGGGACTGATCCACTGTCCCTCAGACCTTGTGGGGGGCTGGGCTATATTTTTTGGGGGGAAATCCATCTCTGAACGAATTCCTATGCCCCACAAATAACCCAGAGATGCATTTTAAATAAAAGCACACAGTCTACTCATGTAAAAACACGCTGATTCCTTGACCGTCTGCGGGCTGGATTTAGAAGGCGATTGGGCCGGATCCAGCCCCTGGGCCTTAGTTTGCCTACCCATGTTAAAGTGCATTGCTAAAGGAGGAGGGGGGTCTTCTCTGCCTGCTGTGACCCTGAATTACGTGCATGCCCAAATCCTGGCCTAGTCAGCATCCGACCCTTCCATGGAAAACTGGTACACATGCGCAGTCACAGAAACACAGCTTCAAGTTAGACCATTGGTCCGTTTAACTCAGTATTGTAGACACTGACCAGGATTTGAAGTGTACCTGGAGATGCCAGGGATTAAACATGGGACTATTTGCAGGCAACATCTACCAGTGAACATCCTTATAGAATCTTAGAGTTGGAAGGTCATCTAGTTCAACTGCCTGCAATGCAGGAATCTCAACTAAAGCACCCATGACAGATGGCCATCCAATCTCTGCTTAAACACCTCCAAGGACGGAGAGCCCACCACCTGTCGAGGGAGACTGTTCCACTGCCAAACAGCTCTTACTGTCATAAAGTCGGAACCTCCTTTCTTGGAACTTGAAGCCATTGGTTTGAGTCCTACCCTCCAGAGCAGGAGAAAACAAGCATGTTCCCTCTTCCATGTGACAGCCCTTGAGATATTTGAAGATGGCTATCATCTCTCCTCTCAGTCTCCTCTTCTCCAGGCTAAACCTGCCCAGCTCCCTAAACCGTTCCTCATAAGGCATGGTTTCCAGACCCTTGATCATCTTGGTTGCCCTCATCTGCACATGTTCCAGCTTGTCAACATCTTTCCCAAATTGTGGTACCCAGAATTGGACACAGTATTCCAAGTGTGGTCTGACCAAGCCAGAACAGAGTGGTGCTATTTACTTCCCTTGATCTGGACACTATTCTTATGTTGATGCAGCCTGGAATAATGTTAGCTATTCTGTCATGCATTCTCTGAACATGTGAATGGGACAGTGCATCTGTTGGTCTCTTACCTGCCTACCTAAATCAGGCACCCTTGGTTGATCCTGCTTTCCCTGGGTGGTATTCAATGCTAGCGCTACTCAGAGAAGACCCATTGAAGTTGGGACTTGAATAATTTAGGCTCATGCCTCTCAATGGGTCTACTCTGAGTAGGATTTGGTTACATGAAGCAGTGTCTGCTCAGGCTTCCAATGGAAAATCCATCCATGCTAACCCCCCCTTTAAAAAAAATCTCATCTTGTCATTAATGCCACCATCAATGCTAATATTATTTTTTTCCAGAGGACTGTCAAGGCACGAGCAAAATCCACAGCCAGCTAATCTGCCATAAAGTCATGTTTTATACACAAAACTACAAATTGAGTTTTACACTTCATGAAAAACAAATCGCTCTCTCTTTAAGGGGCATCCCGAGACGCAAAATTAGATCTCTTTCCACAGAATCATAAGGGTGAGGCATCATTTTTTGACATGCAAATAATATTCTAAACCTTGGGAAATGAAGCAGCGAGAATATTTATAGCAATGATAACTTGCTTGTCTGCTTGACGCTGACTGCATTTTTCCCCCTGATGGGAGGGAGCGATGGAATTAGCCTAGATCAAGAGATGATCTTGTTTAAAACTCCCCACCTCCCTCCCTGTAGCAGTTTCGCTATACCAACAAAAATACTAATAAAAAAATAAAAAATAAAAACCCAACACCCAGCTGGAAAATTGAGATTGAGCATATGTTTCACATCCCAAGGTAGCTCTAACACAATCTGCACAATGCTTTTATAAAGAGAGTGTGTGGCACTGCAGTTACACATAATAATCTATTTCGGATACAGCCACGGTTTCGCATTAAACTTTCTTGAAACTGAACCAAGTCTCTGAAAACAGACCCAGAGATGAATGAATGAATGAATTCTGGCCTTTGCAAGAGAGATGCATCTACTGAATCTGTCAGTTTACATATAGGGTATGTCAGGAAAAGCCTGACATCTAGTTCAGTATTAACCACAATGACCAACTGCAGCAATGTAGGAGTTTAGTCAGGGGACAATCCAGCCCTGCAGATGCTGGGACTTTATGAATGCAAAGCATGAGCTATGACCCTTCCCTGTAATTAATGCATTGCAGGGTCGTCATGCTTATGGGCTATACCCCTGAGTCAACAGAAGTATAGTGTCCTGATCAAGGGAGATGATAGTACCACTCTATTCTGCCTTGGTCAGACCACACCTGGAATACCGTGTCCAACTCCAGAAACCACAATTTAAGAAGGATGTTGACAAGCTGGAAAGGGTGCAGAGAAGAGCCTGGAAAACAAGCCTTATAAGGAAAGCTTGAAGGAGCTGGGTATGTTTAGCCTGGAAAAGAGGAGACTGAGAGGGGATATGATAGCCATCTTCAAATATCTGAAGGGCTGTCACATGGAAGAGGGAACAAGCTTGTTTTCTCCAGCTCTGGGGGGTAGGACTCGAATCAATGGCTTCAGGTTACAAGACAGGAGATTCTGACTATCATCAGGAAGATCTTTCTGACAGTAAGAGCTGTTTAACGGTGGAACAATCTCCCTCAGGAGGTTATGGACTCTCCTTCCTTGGAGGTTTTAAGGCAGAGATTGAGTGGCCATCTGCCATGGATGCTTTAGCTGAGATTCCTGCATTGCAGGGGGTTGGACTAGATGACCACTGGGCACCATCCAACTCTACATTCTACGATTCTATGAAAGGGGATATTTAGAACTATACAGTAGTACCTCGGGTTAAGAACTTCTGGAGGTCCGTTCTTAACCTGAAACTGTTCTTAACCTGAGGTACCACTTTAGCTAATGGGGCCTCCTGCTGCTGCCGCGCTGCCGGAGCACAATTTCTGCTCTCATCCTGAAGCAAAGTTCTTAACCTGAGGCGCTATTTCTGGGTTAGTGGAGTCTGTAACCTGAAGTGTATGTAACCTGAAGCGTATGTAACCCGAGGTACCACCATTTTCCTTCCTCCAGCACCCCATTTTCAATAAACACAGGCCAAACTGCTTTGAACGAAGGTGGTTTGGAGTGGGGGAAGCCTTGGATTAAAGCATTTGCCATGGGCGATGTGGAATTTCAAGCAGACTGGCGTGGGGAATTCCCTTCAGAAGAGCTTGTGGTCTGGCAAAACAACCTCCCTCTCTTTTGCCAGCTTGCTCAACTTCTGGAATGTCAAAGACACTTTCCTTGGTATATACTACATTTCATTCCCACTGGACACCTCAATGTTCAAGAAAAAAACAATAATAAAGAAGGCTTGCAGAAGAGTCAACAGTTGTCAAGCTCAACCATAAACTGTATTTTGCTCAGTTAATATACTACTGTGTATTGTTACTTATTTCATCCCTCTACATCCCTGGGTCAATAATCAAAGATGTATGTAGCAAGCCTAGGTTCTTTTGTCTGACCCCCATCCCTCTACCTCTTCAATATAGTAAAGGGTAAAGGGACCCCTGACCATTAGGTCCAGTCGTGGCCGACTCTGGGGTTGCGGCGCTCATCTCGCTTTATTGGCCGAGGGAGCCGGCGTACAGCTTCCGGGTCATGTGGCCAGCATGACTAAGCCGCTTCTGGCAAACCAGAGCAGCGCACGGAAATGCCGTTTACCTTCCTGCCGGAGCAGTACCTATTTATCTACTTGCACTTTGTTGTGCTTTCGAACTGCTAAGTTGGCAGGAGCTGGGACCAAGCAAAGGGACTCACCCCGTCACGGGGATTCGAACCGCCAACCTTCCGATCAGCAAGCCCTAGGCTCTGTGGTTTCAATTCCTTGAGTGAAGTAAAGACACCATTAACTCAAAACAAAGCTAATTAGAAGAGCAGCAGTTTTCCTTTCATAGTAGATCCTGTGACAGGGGACTTGATTCCTTCCATTACCTCCTCTCCCCGCCCCCCAAAATTGCTGTTTCCCATTTGCTATCCAGCATTTGATGATCGAGCTGTCAAGGTGTGTATCTCTTAGAAATCTCCCCCTGTTTTGTGATTGCTACACAGGAAGCCCGGTATACTATATATAATACATTCTCATCCCGATCTCTCTATATTTATACACATACACACATTATCTTTATGTGCATGATTGGGGATAATGGATGATTTGTGACGTTATCTATTATGGGAAATAATCAAGATTAATGAGCCCTGTGGCAGTTGCTGAACGTCTCCAGAGATTTATTACACAGGTTGTTCCTTTTCCTTGTTGCACTGGTGCCGTCAGGAGGCCCGTAACAAATGCAAATAGAGACGTGGATTAATTGCTAATGCAGAGCAGAGGCACCATGACGTTAGTGAATCTCCACCATAGGGTGGGACTGCAAGAAGGGCTAGCTTTGCGGATATCGCTTCTGTGCAAATGTAGGAAGTGGGCTTAGAGCAGGCTATTCATGCACTTAATCCAGCACCGCCTGCTTTGATCGGCAGCAGATCTCCAGGGTCTCAGATGGAGATCTTTCCTATCGAAAAACTGAACCCCATAATCTTCCTAATGCAAAACGTGCTCTACTAATGAGTGATGGCTTTTCTCATGGGAAGCAGCTGAGTCAGACTATTGGTCCATTTAGCTCAGCATTACCTACACTGACTGGCAGCAGCTCTCCAGGGTTTCAGGAAGGGAGCCCCGCCTGGAGATGTCAGGAATCGAACCCAGGACCTTCTGCATGCAAGGCAGATGCTCTACCACTGAGCTATGGCTCATGATGGTGAGCATGCATGCACAGAAATATGTGTCGTCGTCTCCGTAAGACCATTAAGCCCAGGGTCTAACTTGCACCACTACAATGGCACCACCTATGCCACTAATTCCACCTGTGATTTGGACGTCATGTGGCATAAGCTAAATAAATGTCAAGCAGCAGCAGAAAGCCTGGATAGCTCAGTTGGTTAGAGCATGGTGCTGATAATTGCCAAGGTTGCAGGTTTGATTCCCATATTCCTGCACTGGAGGGGGTTGGATTAGATCAGGGGTCAGCAAACTTTTTCAACAGGGGGCTGGTCCACTGTCCCTCAGACCTTGTGGGGGGCCGGACTATATTTTGAAAAAGAAGAAGAACGAATTTCTATGCCCCACAAATAACCCAGAGATGCATTTTAAATAAAAGCACACATTCTACTCATGTAAAAACACCAGGCAGGCCCCAGAAATAACCCAGAGGTGCATTTTAAATTTTAAAAAAGACACATTCTACTTATATAAAAACACGCCGATTCCCGGACCGTCTGCGGGCCGGATTGAGAAGGCTATTGGGCCAGATCTGGCCCCTGGCCCTTAGTTTGCCTACGCATGGATTAGATGATAATTAGGGTCCCTTCCAACTCTACAATTTTGTGACTCTATGATGCAGCCTTACTCTTCCTAGGTCAACACCCTTTTAAATTCTGGTTCCCTCCATCCATCCCCTAAAAAATGTGGGTTATGACCACCATGGAACTGATTTTGTGACTATGGTGGAGCTGAAAGGAGGCAGGCAGAAACAGAGAGGCCTGATTTGGCTAATGGCTTGCTGGGATTTTTCACCTCTGCTGAAAGAGAGGAGAAATCATCTCCCAAAAATAAAGAGTCCGAGGTAAAAGAAACGTATCAAGCACGTTCTCCCAATGTATTTCAAGATGCTGTAATATATGGCATGTCATTTACAGGAGTTGGGGAAATCAGTCTCGTGATAATGGCATTCCTATCAGAAGACATTGCTAGCTGTTTGACAAAACCATCCAAGAGACATCAAGTTATTAACAGTGACTTGATCCAAAGATATATTTAGCCTTGTCTCTATATTTCACCTTATTTCACCAAGATGCCAGGGTCATTCAAACGATGTGGTTATTTAATCCATCAAATTAAGGAACTTTAAAAACATCTCCAGGGGAAATACCAAAGCAGGGGGGTGGTGAATCTTTTAGTCTGAAAGTGACAATGATGAGTGCCTATTGTGGATATCGTGGAAGGTTCCACCAGGAATAGGGAACATGTTGCCTTGTTCTCAATGTTGTTGGACTGCAACTCCCATCAGCCCTGGTCAACATAGCCAGTGGTGAGGGATGATGGGAGTTGTAGTCAAAGAAATATTTAGGCAGCCACAGGTTCCCAGCCCCTGTGCATATCCACACTGTGGTTTGGAAGGAGGGAGTTCAATCTGCCATCATTCACCTTCCTCTCACTTTGCATCCCATCCCAGTCACCTTGCAGGTGGCAGCAATTCAAACACTCATGAAGATTATATACCTGAAGGAGCATCTCCACCCCCATCATCCAGCCAGGACACTGAGGTCCAGCGCCGAGGGCCTTCTGGTGGTTCCCTCGCTGTGAGAAGTGAGGTTACAGGGAACCAGGCAGAGGGCCTTCTTGGTAGTGGCGTCTGCCCTGTGGAACGCCCTCCCAGCAGATGTCAAGGCAATAAACAACTATTTTACTTTTAAAAGACAACTGAAGGTGGCCCTGTTTAGGGAGGTTTTAATGTCTGATGCTGTATTATTTTTAATATTCAGTTGGAAGCCACCCAGAGTGGCTGGGGAAACCACATTAATAATAATAATAATAATAATAATAATAATTATACAAGATGTGCTCCTGAGAATAGCTAAATCTGCACACAAAGCAGCCTCATGCAAGCTCATCACAGGATAGTCCCCCACCCCACCACAGAACTGGAAACGACGAATGCAATGGAGGAACCAAAAGTTACAGCTAGCTGTGCATGCGCAGCACTTTGTAGATTCACAGCCCCCCTCAAAAGGTGAACTTTGCAAAGAAAAATAGGTACTGTGATCCATCTTCATACATTATCTTCAGGGCTACCCCATACAGAAGGGCGAGTGGGACCATCCTTCTGGCCCTACCTTCCACGTCAGATGTCCCTCTGACCCACCCTCTCAAACATACATACATTCACCATGGACATCGGCAAAGCAAAGACGAACCTACATGAAAGTAGCTGAACATGTGGCCAGTCCTCATTGTTTAAGCTCCTTATTTATACCCCATATTTCCTCCAAAGAGCTCAAGGCAGCACACATGTTTCCACTCCCCATTTTATCCTTTAAATGACCTTGTAGGTTAAAACAAAATTTTAAAAAATCCTTCTAGAAGCACCTTAGAGACCAACTAAGTTTGTCATTGGTATGAGATTTCGTGTGCATGCACACTTCTTCAGAAACGAAAGCTCATACCAATAACAAACTTAGTTGGTCTCTAAGGGGCTACTAGAATTTTTTTTATTTTGTTTCAACTACGGCAGACCAACATGGCTACCTACCTGTAACTTGTAGGTTAAGGCAGGGATGGTCAACAAGCTGGGAGGAGGAGGGCAACCGAGATGATCAAGGGTCTGGAAACGAAGCCTTATGAGGAATGGTTGAAGGAGCTGGAAAAAAGGAGATAGGACTGCCGTCTTCAAATATCTGAAGGGCTGTCACATGGAAGAGGGAACATGCTTGCTTTCTCCTGCTCTGGAGGCTAGGACTCGAACCAATGGCTTCAAGTTACAAGAAAGGAGACTTCGACAAAACATTCGGAAAGCAAGAGCTGTTTGGCAGTGGAACAGACTCCCATGAGAGGTGGTGGACTCTCCTTCCTTGGGGGTTTTTAAGCAGAGGCTGGATGATCACCTGTCCTGGATGCTTTAGCTGAGGTTCCTGCATTTCAGGGGGTTGGACTAGATGACTCTTGGGGTTGCCTACAATTCTATGATTGTATGGCTGGGTGGGAGATTATTAAACCTGATCTTTCTGGTCCTAGTCTGGTACCCTGGCTTTCCGCCTCTCCTGGTATGCCCCACGGAGGACCTTAAGGTCCACAAATGACAACATTTTGGAGGTCCCAAGTCGCAAGGTGGTTAGATCGGTCTCAACTAGGGCCAAGGCCTTTTCAGTACTGGCCCCGACTTGGTGGAATGCTCTGTCACAAGAGACCAGGGCCCTGCGGGACTTGACATCTTTCCACAGGGCCTGCAAGACAGAGCTGTTCCACCTGGCCTTTGGTTTGGACTCAGTCGGACCCTTATGTTTCCCTCCCCTTATGGTTTTGATCTATGGGTTACTTTTAAAATGAGGCTGCATTTTAAATTTCATTTTAACCTGTATTTTAAATTGGTCCCTCCCCCATTATGTTTTTATTGTAATTTTACTGGTGTTAGCTGCCCTGAGCCTGGCTCTGTCCAGGGTGGGTAGGGTATAAATAAAATTTATTATTATTATTATTACCCTGGCTTTGCACCCCACGTTCAACTGCTCATGTGTAGATGTCCCTGCTAAAAGCACAAGAAGGCAGGGTTCTATCATGGCAACCTTTTGTCTAGATCAGGGGAGGCTAACCTGTAGCTGAACTACAGCTCCCATCATCCTTCACCATTGGCCGTTCTGGCTGGGGCTGATGTGAGCCAAAGTTTGGTAGCATTTGGAAGGCCACAGGTTAGCTCCTGTACCCCTGATGCAGATAATACATGGATGTGAATGGTGAGAATTTAGGAACCGTCCCTAAAAACAAACCACAACGCAGCTCCGTTCCCACAAGTCTTGCAAGCAAGGGAGGAAACTCTAACCTACTTCTCTTTCGGGGTTTCTGCAAGCAGATTCCGACCTACCATTTCGTACACACGCTGCCCTCTGTAGCGAGAGGTGGAGGGAGAAATAATTAGGGGGGGTATTTGCTCTCTGTCTAAACGGCATCACAGAGGGCAGAGTCTTCATAGGAAGACTGGGCGACATAAAGGAGTTTCTCCCAACTAACACAAGCATTTTTCTCTTTTAATTTTTTTTTTATTTGTGGGTCTTTGAAGCCTGCCATGGCTGGGACCACAAAGAGCAGCTGTCAAAGCTGATAATGGCGCTTTTAGCAAGCCACATTTTTCTTCTCCCACTGTGGTGTCAGCTGTCAACAGATTAAATGCTAGCAACAGAAGGGTCACCGTGACCTCTGACCCCCCTCTGGCAGGCAGATTAGAATAAAGTCATATGCCACAAAACTTCAGGGGGAGAAAAATCTTTCCCGAATACCGTTATTCTTAAAACTTTTTAATGCGCTGCAAGACTAGTGTGGGTGTTTGTTTGCAATTCTTTTTCTTATGATTCACCCAGGCTGCTGCACCTCTATGGATTTTATTCTTGCATGGCTTACAAGCTTGTAGGAAATATTTGGTACGCCACCTTCACTGCTCATGAACCCTCAAAATGATGCAGAATATGCCTCTGCTGAAAACAGATACTATGCAGCTGGGAAAATGTACTGAATGGGGCAAGGGGTGAGGACTCTCAAGCACAGAGCCAAATGTGGCCCTCAACACCTCTCTGCCTGGCCCTCCAGTGCCCCATATTTCCACATCAGCTCGCAATTTTCATTTTAAAAAATCCTTATAGAAATTAATCAGCATTTTGGTATTAATGTCTCCCAACTTTCCATGCAATTTTGCCTAAGGCATCCGTTTTTTATTTTTATTTTTGCAAAGCACACCTGCATTTCCCCTGATGATAATAATAATAATAATAATAAATAATTTTATTTATACCCAACCCTCCCCAGCCAGAGCCGGGCTCAGGGCAGCTAACACCAATAAAATAAAATACAGGTTAAAATGCAATTTTAAATGCAGCCTCATTTTAAAGTAGCTGATAAATCAAGACCATAAGGGGAGGGAAACATAAGGGTCAGACCGAGTCCAAACCAAAGGCCAGGCAGAACAGCTCTGTCTTGCAGGCCCTGCGGAAAGATGTTGAGTCCCACAGGGCCCTAGTCTCTTGTGACAGAGCATTCCACCACGTCGGGGCCAGTGCTGAAAAGGCCCTGGCCCTAGTTGAAACCAATCTAACCTCCTTGAGGCTTGGGACCTCCAAAGCGTTGTTATTTGTGGACCTTAAGGTCCTCCACGGGGCAGACCAGGAGAGGCAGTCCCGTGTTATAGTGCCTTTTCTATGCTAGTTTCACTTGGGTAGGAATTCGTAACACAGACTTTACAGAGGGTATGTGGGGCTGAATTTTGCAAAATTCAGAGAGGCGCTCATTTCAAAGGATGGCTGTGCTTCGGTTTGTGTTTTGGAAAATGCAAAATCAAACTCGAAATGAGTTTGATTTGTCTTCCATCCTTACCTCCAAGGCCCTTTGCTACTCGATGATTCTACGGCAACAACCAGGTGTGTCATTTGAAATGCCCACCACATGGACTCTTAAAACACAAAAGACGGCACCAAAACAGCAGCCAAGAATCTGAGGCATGACAACTGGATGTGCAATGCACACGTGACTCTGGAAGGCTCCTGGCAGTTGGCATCAAAAAAGGTGCCCTGTTGGCGCTCTCTTTAGCACACAACACCAAATGTGACTCTCTGGGAACCAGAGAACCTGTTCCTGGGGAATGCAGGCCTGTAAGGCAAGACTCAAGTCACAGCGACAGAAGAATGTCTCCACTTTTGAACCCACCGGGCAGAGCCAAAAGAGGTACTTGACATAGTTCAGATTTCTCACATGTGCGAAAACACTCCCCCCTCCCAAGCTGATTTATTTCCTGATGCAAAAGATTTTCGCCCGCTGCCGAAGCTGTGAAGCTGCGAGCGGCTTTTATTAGTCTCCGTAAGCCGGCGAGGGTGGTGAAAATAAAGCCAGGGGTGTGAGGGCTTTAAAAATAAATAAATGCATCAAGAAATAAAATATAGGTCAGGAGTGGCGCAGGAGTGGAGCGGCGGGCGGCTAGGCCGTACATTTCAAGGACCTTTCTGCACTCTAGTGCTTCTTGAAGAGGGCTGAGGGAAATAGAGCCAGCCCATGTAAAGGACTCCAAGCAAAAAGGGTGACCGTTCTACACGCGTGCAGCGAAACACAAATCGTGCATCAGTGGAGCTCAGTCAGTCTGAGTTAGGGCTGGGCAATATCTGGTTTTCAACATCGCAATATACCACCAGCTCATCACAGCGATTTACTGATATATCACAATAGGGGTGCCAACTACAGTGGTACCTCAGGTTACAGGCACTTCATGTTACAGGCGCTTCAGGTTACAGACTCCGCTAACCCAGAAATAGTACCTCGGGTTAAGAACTTTGCTTCAGGATGAGAACAGAAATCATGCTCTGGCGGCAGCGGGAAGACCCATTAGCTAAAGTGGTACCTCAGGTTAAGAACAGTTTCAGGTTAAGAACGGACCTCCAGAACGAATTAAGTTCTCAACCCAAGGTATGACTGTATAGGGAGCAGAAGGGGCTTTGGCCCCCTCAATATTTGTGGGCAGGGGGCTGAGCCCCCACAATATTGAGGGGGCCGCTGCCACCACCACCCTGCCGGGTGAGAGCTCATGCACTGGGCAGGAGTGGGACACCCTGAGGGGGAAGATCACCCCCTGCGCACCCCACTGGGAGAGCACAGGCATGCCAAGCAGGGTCGGGATGCATCACGTGATGCGAGGCCCCCTAAATGTGGGGAGCAAGTTGGCGCTCCTGTATCACAGTGTCTGAAGTAAGGATGGAGCTATGGAGAGGTATTGGCTGGCTTCACGATTCCACCCCCCCCCATCATGATTTTTTTCATAACACTCATACAAACACATCATGAATCACAATATATTGCCAGGTCAAAAGCTGTGAAACTGATATCATGATATAATAATAATAATAATATATTTATACCCCACCCATCTGGCTGGGTTTCCCCAGGCACTCTGGGTGGCTTCCAACAAAATATTAAAATACAATAGTCTATTGCACATTAAAAGCTTCCCTAAACAGGGCTGCCCTCAGGTGTCTTCTAAAAGTCTGGTAGTTGTTTTTCTCTTTGACATCTGGCAGGAGGACGTTCCACAGGGCGGGTGCCACTACCAAAAAGGCCCTCTGCCTGGTTCCCTGTAACCTGACTTCTCACAGTGAGGGAACCACCAGAAGGCCCTCGGAGCTGGACCTCAGTGTCCGAGTAGAACGATGGGAGTGGAGACGCTCCTCCAGGTATACTGGACCGAGGCCAGTAGATGACTTCAAACTGGCTTTGGACAATATATTGCCCAGCCCTAGCACACATCATGATTTCTGTATATTGCCAGGTAAAATAAAAATATGAAACTGATATCACAATGTGGAATTCAAACCAGTTTTGTACGATATATTGATATGTTGCCCAGTTCTAGTCAGGGTAGATTTAGCAACCGAGCATCAAACTTTCATGTGATCTTATCCCACGTACAAGGTAGGACCACTGACCCATCTAGTTCAGCATCCTGTTCTCACTGTGGCCACTCAGATGCCTCAATGGGAAACTCAGAAACAGGACTCAAGTTTGCAGCAACTGGTGTTCAGAAGCATTGCCTCTGACTGTGGAGGCAAAGCGTATCCACCATGGCTTGCAGCCCTTGATAGCCTCCACAAATTTGTCCTATCTGCTTTTGAAGCCAACCAAGATGGTGGCTTTAAGTACTCTCATCCCTTAGAACCATTTCCCATACCACAATCTAAATCTGATCTCTTTTAATCCCAGGCAGTGGTGAAGCTGCATGCTCCAATACTGGGGGGTGGAGAGCAGGCGGGGGCATGACTGGCACCCCCAGGGGGCGTGGTGCACATCCCAGGGGCTGTTGGGATGCTTCCGGGGAGATGGGGGCAATTGGCAGGCCCCCAGCTGGCTCCACCAGCAAGCCAGCAGTGATAAGAACTCTTTGCAACAGAAGTAGCGGACAGAGGCCTATGTAAGCATATTTACAAGCATTTATTCAGCAGCAGGACAAAGGAAAAAACATGTCTGCTTCCCTTCGTGTTCAAGCAAACAGCACAGGCAAAAGCTTATATACAACGGAAGTTCCCAGCAGACTGTGCTGGAAGTAAACAGACATGTGACACACAACAACAACTCCACATGCCTGTTCGAAAGGTAGAACGGAACTATATACTAACGGGCGTGGTGAGCCGCCCCCCACAAGGGCGTGGCACACATTCCGGGGGCGTGACGGGGGTGCGTGGTGCGTGTCTGGGCGGCCCTGCCGCAATGGCACGCTACTGGAATGGTGCCAGGGGCTTTCCGCTCCTTCCGCACCCCCGTTCCCCCGCTGGGGTCATGGGTTCAAGCCCCACATTGGGCAAAAGATTCCTGCATTGCAGTGGTTTGGACCAGAAAATCATTGTGCTCCCTTCCAATTTCACGACTCTACATTCCTACGATTCTATGCTAAGTCTGCAAATAGCCTCATAGACCATATACGATGATAATGATATTATTATTAATAATAATAATAACCATGATAATTTTAGGGCTCCATTTCTTTGTTTTGATAGCCACTGGGCCTTTTCATAAGGCCCCCATTCTCTGTGATTAAGGGTTCTTCTTACTTAAAAGTCACCTACTGAAGAGAATCACTTGCTTGATATTACACCAAAACCCAAAGTGGGCACCAAAAGCACTAGCAGTTTGGGAAGCTGCCTCGTATCTGCATATATATATATATATATATATATATATATATATATGCATACCAAAGCAGCTCCATCTGTGAACACGACAGGTCTGGCTACGTCCATGACTTGGCAAGCATGAAAGGTCACCGATGAGGTCATGCAGGTGCGAGGATGGGGTGCAACTTAAGTTGTGAGCTGCAACCCGATAGCCCAAACTCGAGACAGCATATGACAGGAGGCGCCCAACCCAAAATAGACGTGGCGAGCTGAGGAGTGCAAAAAAGAAAAAGAAAAAAGGACAGGGTGAAAGCTCCTACCGGTTGTCGAAGAATCTATCTAAGTGGAAACCTATTGCCTCACCCCCAAATATGTGGAGCTGTGCATTTAGACCAGTCTTTCCCCCAGACTTCCTACCTCCAGGAAGCACTTTACATGCTGAGGAAATGGCCAATGCACTCCAGACCTGCCCCCGAACTGCTCTGCGTTGCAAAGGATTCTGGGATATGTACAGGTTCCCCCAGTATCCCCGATTCCTTCTTCCAAGTCTGCCTCCAATCTGCTTTCTATTGGTGTCCACGCATCAGTATCCACCCATCCAAGGACTCAGTGTCCAGTCCTTGATACTCTTATACAGTGGTACCTCGAGTTAAGAACTTAATTTGTTGTGGAGGTCGGTTCTTAACCTGAAACTGTTCTTAACCTGAGGTACCACTTTAGCTAATGGGGCCTCCTGCTGCTGCTGCGCCGCCAGAGCACGATTTCTTTTTTCATCCTGAAGCAAAGTTCTTAAGCTGAAGTACTATTTCTGGGTTAGCGGAGTCTGTAACCTGAAGTGTCTGTAACCTGAAGGATCTGTAACCCGAGGTGCCACTGTACAAAGATGAGAGCCATTGCTGCTCCTCCCCATTTTGGCTCCTGGCCTCGCCCACCACTGGGATACATATTCTCCAGAAGGATTTGTCTGCCAGGTTGCCCACAGGCAAGCTGAATAAGGGCTCCCCCTTTTCCAAACAGTCGCCACAGACAACACCAGCAAAGGGGAATTATGTATGCAGCTCAGATTGTTTGCAATTACTCACAACCGTCACATTCTCCTCTCCTGCCCCCTCCTCAGAGTGTATTAAAACAGGAGGGAAAGTATTTTCACAAAGGTTAACTAGAAACATTTATGTGTCTTCTAGAGCCGTTATTGCCGTAACGTAGCTTCCCTCGCACCCCTCTTCACTCCTCCTTGTGAAAGAGGGAAAACTATTACTAATGCCGCCATTATTTTGCTCTATTACTTTTCTATGGCGCGCTGCAAAGAAAGCAATTTTAAAGAACACGCACCGCACTTATCATAATCAGGCTTTCCTTATAGCATTTTCCAACAAGGCGGAACTCTCCCGGGAGCTGCGAGGGGAGAAATAAGAAACTCCGTTATGGCTTCGGCTCCCGGGGCTGAGCTGGAAGCGTCTGGAGTCGACGCCGGTCTCTCCACCAATTGGCCAATGAGAGAATCGCGGGGGGCTCGGGCCCTGCGCTTGGTTGCCGCGAATCAAGCATCTTGCTTTGGCGAAGAGGGCAGAGTCATCAGCAGCTATCAGTCATGCTAGCTAAATGGAACATCCCTGCTCAGAGGCAGTATACCTTGGACTGCCGGAGGACAAACAAAAGGGGGTGGCTGATGTCTCTGTGTTTGCAGAGTCAGGTGAATAATGAGGATAGAAATAAACACAGCACTGAGGAAAACTGAATAAAACAGCACATAATGCAAGGAGATGTGGGTGGCACTGTGAGTTAAACCACAGAGCCTAGGTCTTGCCGATCAGAAGGTCGGCGGTTCAAATCCCCATGATGGGGTGAGCTCCCGTTGCTCGGTCCCAGCTCCTGCCAACCTAGCAGTTCAAAAGCACGTCAAAGTGCAAGTAGATAAATAGGTACCACTCTGGCGGGAAGGTAAACGGCGTTTCCGTGCGCTACTCTGGTTCGCCAGAAGCGGCTTAGTCATGCTGGCCACATGACCCGGAAGCTGTACGCTGGCTCCCTCGGCCAATAAAGCGAGATGAGCGCTGCAACCCCAGAGTCGGTCACGACTGGACCTAATGGTCAGGGGTCCCTTTACCTTTAATGAAAGGAGAAACAAACAGAGGGGGTTTGTCTTATTTTTAGGCCTTGCTCGTGGCAGGAAGGTATCAAAAAATGAGACATACCGAGGCACGGGGAACTCTCTCAGAACTATGCAGGCAATCAGAGCACATGTTACCTCAGCAAGGATCATGCTGCTCTGGGCGGGTGCTAGGAGGCACATCCACACACACTCTCTTGGTTGGTTGACTAAACAGTATTAACCCTTGGGTTGCTAACTGAATGATTCCTGCTGCTGCACTTCCAACACTCTGCTTCTAGGCTGGCCACCCACCGGAAAAGGAATAATACACTAGGCAGACACTTAGCCTGCAGCAACGATGTCCTTCCCATCTGCCAAGCACATTTGGGGGAAATACTGTGCGTGTGAAGCTCTGAAGCTTGGTTCAAATAGGTGCCCATTCAAAAAGAAAGAAAGGAGAGAAGCCACCGATAAGAGCACAAGGGCCCTGCTCCATCAAGCCAAAGAGCCATTCAGTGCTGTGCTGCAAAACCAAAAGCTCTGGCCTTGCTAGCTAGGGGTGATGGGAGTTGTGGTTCGACAACATCTGGGGACCCACAGGTTGAGAACCGCAGCTCTAGATGCTGTGCCTATTCTGCCCCAGCTTACCCCACCTCCATATTCTTCACTTCCTTTGTTGTTCCCATCCGAGGCTGTCTTACAGCTCCACGGGTGGGGAACCTGAGATCTTCCAGATGTTGCTGATTTCCAGCTCCCATCACTCCTGACCATTGGTCATGCTGGCTGGGCAGACAAGAGCAGGAATTCAATAACATCTGGAAAGCTGCAGGTCCCACCATCTGTGAGTAGCATTTCCACGAGTTCCCATCTTGATTCTTCAAGGAAGCCAGTAGTTGAGGCCCATGATTTCCAGATGCTGTTGTGACCAGCAACCAACAGTCACAGATATGCTGTCTTTGAACATGGAGACGTGGCTCTTAGCCAGAGCCTCCACTATGCCTGAAGAAGCCACAGAGAAGAATGGAAGTACAGTGGTACCTCAGGTTACATATGCTTCAGGTTACAGACTCCGCTAACCCAGAAATAGTACATCGGGTTAAGAACTTTGCTTCAGGATGAGAACAGAAATCGTGCTCCGGCGGCGTGGCAGCAGCAGGAGGCCCCATTAGCTAAAGTGGTGCTTCAGGTTAAGAACAGTTTCAGGTTAAGAACAGACCTCCGGAATGAATTAAGTACTTATCCCGAGGTACCACTATATAAGCAGACAGATTCATTTTTGGGAAGGGGAAGAAGAAGCAGAAGAAGCAAAAAATCCAGCGGATACTGGAACTGCTGCAACACAAGCCCTGGAGGGACCCGAAAGAGAGCAGGTGGCCAGGCGTGAGGCAGATGTTACTTGCGGATGGCCGGGAAAGGCTGACATTTGGGCTGGGTTGCCTCAAGAGGACGCCGAGAAGTATTTGGGAGTGGGAGAAAAACAAAGCTCCATTGTAAAGGGGAAAAATCATTTCAGGGTGAAAGTGCTGACTGTTCCGACTTCCGTCCATCCTAGTATGGAGGAGAAAAATGCCGTTTGCAGCAGATGTTTCCACTTGGATTTGTCAGAGTTTCACACAAGCTTTGGCAGCATCATGAGCGAGATTGTGCAAGCTCAAACCACAGAGCCCTTTTCAGAGGAAGAAGCACAAATGGGCGAGTGTGTGCATGGATGCAACATCAGGCCATGTGATTGGAAGACAGGATGAAACGTCTTGATTGGCTAGCTCAAAAACCTGCGTCAAGCGTCCCCAAATCAAGCAGCTGAACCTGAGGATGTGGAGAGTGCAGTTCTCAGGACCAGATTCACTTTTGCTCTTTAGTGCATCATCCGGATTAGAAAGGATCTGCTGGATCAGAGTGAAAGTTTGTCTAGGCCAGCTTCCTATTTCCTACAGTAGCCACCTCTGGGAAGCCCCCAAGCAGGGCATAAGCACAATAGCCCGCTCCTATCCTTGTTCACCCCTGCCCTCAGCATATTCACATTCCACTTATTTGTTGCCCCCAAAAGAGGAAACACACCGACACACACAAAAGAGTAAAGATTCGCTTAAAATTTGCACGTGCTAATTTATATGTACAGTGGTACCTTGTTTTGTGATCTTCCGGAGCTGCGGTCGCTAGCCGAAAAGGACGCAGGGCAAAGCGCCGCATCTGCGCATGCTTCTGCGCATGCGTGAAGCACGGATTAGCGCTTCGGTGCATGTGCGAGCAGCAAACCCAGAAGTAACCCATTCCGGTACTTCCAGGTTTGCCACGGACGTTTGCCAGAATGGACGCTAGACGAGGCGGACATTCGCGGAGGTATTACTGTACAACTGTAAATTTTTTTTAAATAATTACTATAAACTCAACACAGCTCTCTGTTGTGGCGAAGGCTGTGACAAGGTCTCTGCTCTGCTCACTGTTGACGTGTAACTTCAAGGCCATCCCTGCTCTCCTTTCCAATGGTTCTTATCTTTAAACTTGTTTCGGACAGCACTGACCTTCACACGGGGCTCATTTAAATAAAGGGTGGTTCTTTGTGTGGAAGTGGGACACATGACCACCCTGATGAACCTGCTCCTGAACATGGAGGCTCTATTTAGTGATCAGGATTAATGCAATCTTTGCAAAGAACAACCCAACATGGTTGCAGATACCTTTCTAGCCCCAAATGACAGTGAACCGGGGATGTACAACAAAAAAAGGAAAGGAAAGAAGAGATTTTGCAAGCCTTCTCTGCCTCTTATTGGGAGCAATAACCATGCAGCTATTCCAGGAAAAGTGTGCCGCGGTTTTGATATGGGTGTTTCACAAGTGTTCCTCCGTTTTGCTAAATGTAACGACTCATAACGAGATGTTATCTAGTTCTAACAAAAGGGGCAGTTTAAGGACTTTCCTCTCCCCACCCAAAGTGCATTGGGTGCTTCTATCAAGGGAAACAACCTCTCCCCTCTTAAAGGCACAAACTCTTCTCAGTGACTGGAAACCCTTTGGTTTCAAATTTGGGCACCTTCAGGGTTTCAACCTTCCCATCTTCTTCCCAAACAGTGTATGGCTCAGTAGGCAAGAGCACCAGACTGTCAATCTCAGGGTTGTGTGTTCGAGTCCCATGTTGGGCAAAACATCCCTGCACTGCAGGCAGTTGGACTAGATGACCCTCATGGTCCCTTCCAACTGGTTCTAAGGGGTGTGATGCGTCCAGATTATGAACGAAACTGTGTGCATTTCAGAATGCACAGCTTGGGAGTGCTAGAAAGCTGACAGAGAAACAAACAAACCAGAAATCCCCATCGCTTTTTTTAAAAGGCTGATAAAGCAACTCTCAGCAAAATCCGTCAGCTTGTTCTGAGAAGCTGCGCCCACAAGTAAGTCAGTTACAGCTGTAATTAAGTTACAGTAGCTAGATTAGCTCTTACAGAGTTAACACATGGTTGGGTGGTGGAGAAAGTGTGCCAGCCTCATGCATTTGTGATCTTCTCATTTCTACTATCTTGCAAAAGTGACTTGCATCCAGCTCTGGAGACTTAACAGAGTTGTGGCGTTGGGTATTTCTAACCCACCCACCTTGAGTTTCATAAGCTAGAAGTATAGGTATGTTTCTGAGTTACTGTCAAAGAGGTGAGGGTGAGGCCAACCTCCCTAAACGGCCTTCTCGGTAGTGGCACCCAGCCTGTGGAATACCCTCCCATCAGATGTCAAGGAAATAATCAACTATCTGACTTTTAGAAGACATCTGAAGGCAGCCCTGTTTAGGTAAGTTTTTAATGTTTGATGTTTTATTCTGCATTTAATATTCTTTTGGGAGCTGCCTAGAGTGGCTGGGGAAACCCAGCCAGATGGGTGAGATATTAATAATAACAATAACAACAACTACTACTACTACTACTACTACTAAAGAGCCAGAAGAAGCTGCACAAGGTAGAACTGTGAGTTCATCTGAGGCCACATCTGCACCATGCATTTAGAGCACTATGATGCCACTTTAAACAGCTGTGGCTTTTCCCAAAGAATTCTGGGAGCTGTAGTTTCAATGTGCTAAGACAGGCTTCCTCAACCTCAGCTCTCCAGATGTTTTGAGACTACAATTCCCATCATCCCTGACCACTGGTCCTGCTAGCTAGGGATCATGGGAGTTGTAGGCCAAAAACATCTGGGGGGCCAAGGTTGAGGAAGCCTGTGCTAAGATCTCTCTTCCCCTCCTTGAGCTACAATTCCCAGAGTAGTTTCACAATCAATGCCACTTAACAGGGAACTCTGGGAGGGAACAGGGAGTCAACTAGCAACTCTAAGTACCTTTAATAAACTACAGCTCCCATAATTCTTTGGGGGGAAGCCACTACTGTTTAAAGTTGGGCATCACAGTGCTTCAAACGTATGATGTGAATATGACCCAAGCCTGCATGGACAGAGTGGACCTTGATCCTGAAGTTCTGAGTTCGGATCCTTGACTCCAGCAGACACCAAGAAGATTGGATGCAGAACTGACAATAGCCAATCTCAAGGGCACCTATTTTAAAGTTATGTAGCCGCTGCAAATACTGTGAGGCCGGAGTGGACAGAGTTCAGGCTTGCAGGATATGCTTTAGTTTTTGCTAGATCCACCAACTTTTGCAGCCGGGTGCAAAAGTCATACATTTAGAATTAAACAGTTCTGAGACCAGGAAATTTGAAAACCAGAATTGAAAGATGCTTACAGACCTTCCTCACAAAAATCTACTCCTGGATACTCAAGCTTTCTTCAGTTCAGAAGTATAATTTAGGGTGGCGGAGGCAGAAGGTTGTGTGAATTGTGCTGCTTCAATTGGTCAAGAACCGAGAGTCAGAAATCCTTGACTATCCACTGCAAATCCCAATCTACCCACTGAAGGCAAAGAGTTCTTTAACAACAACAACAACAGTTGCTATTTAGAGCACATTGTCAACGTGTATTTTACACACAAACAACAAGACAGGTCCCTGCCCTCAGGAGCTTACAGGGAAGGAATCAGGAAGGAAGTGGAGAGAAAAAAACCCAAAATGGCCACAGATCAATTTGGACCGGCGAGAAGGATCCCTTCCTGACTGAAAACATGGCAATCATCCAGATCCCAAGCAAAATCCTGAAATTTTCAGTCAAAAAATGCTATTTGGGGACGCAACACTACGATATACATAATCCCACCTGTGGTTTCTTCTCCCTCCTGTTAGCAGGGTCCAAGCAGGGGGGGTCATTGTCTGTCCAGCAGTGATAGGACACAGCTCCCCAAAGCCCCAGCCAGCAGGGCCGAAGATCAGGGAGGAAGATCAGAAACATCTGGAAGACTACAGGTCCCCTCCTGCTCTGAATCTTATTTTTCCTGAAACAAGTGTTCTGAATACTTGGAAAACTTTCCTCACCCAAAGAGGACACGTTAAAAGACACACAGAGAGAAAAGTACAAGCCTTTAACAAACCACAAAGAGAGGCACTGTGGGGTTTTTTTCGAAAAAGAAAGCAAAAGATGTCCAAGCAAGCTCTTCACCTGGGCTTTGTGTAGATAAAAACCCTCTTCTCTGTGGCTATTTCAAACTCTCCCTGCGGATTGTGTAAGGGCACAAGGCCTTTCCTGTTCAAGCGAACCCCTTGGTCTCCCTCGTACGCAGCCCTGTCCCCTCGCTGTCCTCATTCCCTAACAATAGCCAAGTTTTCAAAAGGAACATTTTTAAATTTTATTTCTGCAAAGTGCCACCTGCCCTCAATTCCCCCCAGAAAGGTCATCCAGGCATCTCAACATCGTTCGGGTCCTACGGTTTAACCTTCTTTCAGGACAAGGTAGAGGAAGAAAAAAACCATTTTAAAAAGAATACCTCAACATGGCTCCATGCAGATCTTCACCAGTTCCTGCTTCTCAACTGGGCAAGCAGTTTTTGCACCAGAGACCTCGAGCCTCCGCTCTGCAGCTTCCTTTGTGGTTTGGCAATATGCGAAGACATCCGTTCGCCAGCAAAACTTCCCCCACCTCTCTCTCTCTCTCTCTCTCTCTCTCTCTCACACACACACACACACACACACACACCACACACTTCTGCACCGAGCAAAGGCCTTGGAGTTTCAGCACTCTAGAAACACTTTTAAGAGCAGAGAGGAACTCTCTCATAGTTTATTAGAGAGACGCGCAGCAACATTTCAATTAAAAAAATATATCCATTTGCTGCTCCAGAAGTGTTGGGTTGAGTTTATATCAACCACAATTAGATGAACACCATTTCTTATGGACGCGAAAGTCGATGGTCAATGCAAGATTTCTTCTGTTCACAGACCACCAAGTTAAGTTGTGAGTGGATGAACAGTGGAGTGAGTAGTTTGTGTGTCTCTCTCTGTGTTTTTCAGCTAACAGTATCAGAGAAACCCATGCTTAGGGTTGCTATATTTCAAAAAGTGAAAATCCAGACACAAAAGTTGTTGAGCAAGAAGTTTCTGAGCTATTTCTGAGCTATTTCTCAAAAATCGACACTTTCAACTTTGGGTTGCCCTACGCCTGAGTTTTCCAGGACATTTTTACTGATTTTCAGAAATTCTGCCCAGACGCTATTTTCAACGGACGAATTCCAGATATGTCCGGGAAATTCCTTACCCATGTTCAAGTCCCTACTCAGCCATGAAGTTCACACTCTCAAGCCTAACCTACTTCACAGGTTTTCAGGGATGAGAGACATGTTAGATTTGGTTCACATTTAAAAGTAAGCATACAAAATTTGCACTTTCTGGAGCAAAACACAGAGGGTTATGCAGTGATTCTTCAAAATCCACCTTTCTCTGAATTTTGCAATGCAATTCTCCAGCCCAGTACTGTGTACTTTTCTTTACGAAAACACATATCCCAGTGCATGCATTAGTGAAACAACCACACAACAATTGCATTATATGAGGAATATACGCTTTGCCCTACTGTGTATATTAGGGAGAAATTTGACTGTGTATCAATTTGAAATTTCTGTAAACCAAATGTGTGGTGGATAATGTGCAGAAGTATGGTTTTCGTAAGGGAGAATCAGGAAGAGTGAGTTTGTGTGTGCTTAACCCTTTCCCTGCCTCTTGATTGTCATCTGAGAATCCCCTTTGGTCATTTTAAACCATTTTTAAAACCCCTACCCTCCAGTAGTTAATAATCCAAGACTGAAAACAAGTCTGATTGTTGAAGCAGGGTTGGGGGGGAATAGATTGGCCTTATGATTTTTTTTAACCAGGGAGAACTGATAGGTTTGAAAAGGGTTAAGCACCCGCCTCTAAGAGTTGCTGTGCTTAAGGGAAAGGAATCTTACAGCTAGGAGTGGAAGTGAAATTCAGCTTGGTTCACATTTTCTGTTTCCAGAAAAATAAGCAAGCCAAAACACAACCATCCTTCAAAATCTGCACTTCTCTGAATGTTGTGATGCAGTTCTCCAACAAAATAATGTTCACTAAAATGTGCTTAATATTGGAAACTGTGCCTAAAATGTATATATTAGAGAATGTAACATTTAAAAATGCATTATGGTAGAGAAAGTTGCATACAGAAAATGTAGCTTAGGAGAAATGCTCATGGGTTTTCATGAAGACTTGAAAAAATGGGAGAAACTGATGGAGAAATGTGGGGAACTAAATAAGACTTTGGGGGGGGGAGGTTTATTATTTTCTTTCCATTCTTAAGTTCAGTTTTCCATGTTTAGCCACCAATTTCTTTCTTTCTTTCTTTCTTTCTTTCTTTCTTTCTTTCTTTCTTTCTTTCTTCCTTCCTTCCTTCCTTCCTTCCTTCCTTCCTTCCTTCCTTCCTTCCTTCCTCTTTTCCTCCAAAAAGTTCTTATGAAAATTTGTTAGCACTTTCAAAAAACGAAAATTGACAGATCTCTCTATCCCTAATTACCGAACAGTCTGAAAAGGACCAAAAGTTCCTCGTCTCATATTTTGTTGCTATTCGTTTATTTTCCCTTTCCTTCTTCAGGAATGTAAATAGTAGAAAGCTGTACACTTCCTGCCTACAGATTCTTCTAACCAAGTGTCCCCTCTGCATTTACTTAGCAAACCCACCAGTAGCTATGCACATTTGCTGAGATAACATGCAGTTGCATCCCTTGGATCTGGGCTTTATTCCAGGGCAGATGGCATGGATATAATGAAGACC